TAATTTTTAGCTTAACTATAGTTAAATATAGAAATTTTATTAATTTAACTATAATCTAGCGGTTAAATATAACTGACCCCATTAACCTAACCTAACCTAGTCAAATGCCAGTCTATTAAATCCTAGTATATATAGCACGTGCAGTAAATAACATTACCTCTTCCGGGCGTTATATAACATTGTAGCTAAGTATATTAAGATTAAATCCCGCACAAGCGGTGGGCCAGGGAGAATATCTTAGCCAATAGTTTGGCCGCAGTCTGCCAACGCATTTACCGGCATAACCTTAAATAGTCGTGGGCTTAATATATTATATCCTGGCATGATAGCGGGAGACTTCGAGATCATAAATACTGTAGATACCCCAAGCCACATAGTATCACATGACGAGTTTAACGGGGACAGAATAGGCCTTGGAGATGGGCTGGTCGAGCCTACAGTATTTGGGGATGTGGACATGGGGATGGATCTCTCGGGAGCTCAACTGTGGGACTGGTTCAACAAGAACCAGGCCATAATGAGACTGCTTGAGGATACATAGAAGACCGTCGTGGTGGTATGAGATGCGTTTGGAGATGTTGTGGCGATGTAGAACCTGTACTACCAGTCGGACTGTATAGTAGTGGTAGTTGCGTAGGGCTCTGTATCATTTGTCCATAGTTATTGACCCTGACTGAATTCCAATGGACTGCGTCCTGGGGAGTAAATGATATTAACACTAATGCTCTATACCCATACATTTATGTCTCCTGACAAAACATAAAAGTGCCTTAGCTCGATAGCTATCCGGTATTCTACTTGAAAGTAGAACAGGAAAGCGACATGTAAAGATGTGAGTGTCTCTTCTCTATAAACCCTAGGCCATACACATGCTCATGTTGACATTCCAATATTCCTTTCTTATTTCGGTCGAACTGCCGGTTTCGAATAGAAGCTAAGGCCTTCCAAAGGACCTTACCCTGTGATTTAAAAGAAAAGATGTTGTGTGGGGGGAGAGGGGGGAGAAGCTTAACAGCCTCAAGTCTCTACAGACAATACACAAATGAGAAAGGAGAGGAAATGGATTGGCAGGCTTGAGGGATCTAAGCAATATTCTAACTGTACTTTCGTGTCCTATAGACGAAGGTCTCCAGTATACCCAGATATCAAACTTGAACGACCGTATCTAGATATTATCTGTTCACAAACATTACTCAACGGAGATCAGTCTCTAAAATATCACATATTCTGGATATCACACGAGGGGGGACCAGGCAAGCGTTGGACAACCCCTAATACTAACCACGATTATACTACTATAATGATGTTGCCCGTGGGAGTCTCAACTCGGAAGAAAAAATATAATCAGAAGTTCAATTCATATCCTGCAGATACATGAGACTTTGATCGAAGATAAAGTGGCATAAGCGCCTTGTGTTTCAGTGTATCAGGTCACAGAGCCTCCTAGATTATTATACAACGTTGGAATAACCCGTGATTCCTGCCCTAGACAGACCTTCGTAAATACCTTGCATTGTGTCAAGGATAGAGCTCCAGTTGTCGAAGGGGATAAACGGAATTCCCCTTTCCTTGCAATGATCTACTAGGTCTACCTCATACGTTAGGCTCGCTTATTATCAATTGCAAGTAGCCAACCATGCGGGTGGATATGAGATTGTGAAAGTAATTCACCAGGAGAACTCACCCAAACCCTCCTTTGCAAAAAGAACGTGAGTTTGCGATGCGGCAGATAAATCCGAGACACCATCTCCAGCGTAAAAAAGTAGAGGGCAATTTCCGCTGGGTAGCCCAAAGTACGGCTTGATCTCGAGTGATTTATCATGGCCAAAGGCGCTATATAGTTCATCATTTCGGTTTAGTGAAGACTCAACAGCTCAGCAAATGTGTTGCCCTTACCTGTCGTCACGGTATTTAATCCGCCATCCACTCCCAGTCGTCTTGTTCCCGAAGCTGTGAGGCTCAACGTCATTGGCAACAACAAATATATTTTCTGGATTGCTGCCCAGAACGGACTCCAGCAACATGGTTATGAAAGGAGTCATCCCAGAGGAGAGGACAACTATAGGGATATTACACCCTTTTGCCCAATAATAGAAATCCAGGAAGTGGGGATCAAGCTGAATATTATCCTGTACAATTCGCAGACAATCCGCTAACGGCATCTGTACACTCTGGAGCATGGCGTGGAATGCATCTCTATTGGTGGAGTTGGTCAAGTGGCTGTGTGAAATGACAGAAATGGCATACGGATGGATAGCGAATTCTTACCTGAAAGCCATATGTCCTTTCATGACTTCCATCTCCAATTTCCGTCGCATTTCCATCCCAAACCCAAAGTTATCTACCTTCACATCAGGTAAGCTACGGAGATTGGATATTGGGGTCGACATAGTACCAGATAGTCATTGCCTAGATTGCTGTCAGCGACGGGCGTGTCTGAGTATCATGACGGAGGGAACGACCAAGAAAAGCCTTCGGGAAGAGAATCATACAGTCTTTCAGAGTAATAGTTCCATCAAAATCTGTAAAAAAGATAGCTTTAGGGTTCTCTTTGAGGTACAGCAGCTCATTTTCAGGGGACTCCATTATGCCGCCTGTGATCACGATTGAGGATCTTTCAAGAACCGCCGAACGTATTAAAATGGCAACTAAACAGATGATGGAAAGCAGCAAGGGTATCGAAACGTATCCACCGGTATTATTAACATTTAAGTTATCTAACGACAACTGGATGCCGCTCTCCTAGGTAAGCCTGGTGGTGGGCAGCTATGAGATTTAAGATTTTTCCCGTTGCGTATATGATCATTACATACATGACAGGGAGATCTATATGAGGTAAAATATTACGAATGTTTCCTATTCCGAAGTACCTACTGCGAAAGATTGGCCTAGCCGTGAACTGCGATCTTATGACATTTACACCTGTAGCTCCATCTCTAGTTGCTACTATCTCTCGTGTAACGAGGAGCCTTATCTAGCTTGCAGGTACACTAAGATATGGACAAGATAAAGATTTAGCTTCTTAGAGTGCCAAAATTCGGAAGTTGCCATTTGCAGCGATCCTTCTGGTGTCACTAGCCTTGAGAGCAGATCCAGGGAATGTAACCACATTTCCGGCGTATCCAGAGCTCAATGTCGGGTACTTGAATGTCATATCCCACAATACCTGTGCTCAGATGGGTCGGCTATTCTGCACAATCTCTGGTTCACTCTGCATATGACAACCTAATCCTGTGGGTCTTGTACTGACAGCCGATATCTATCTCCTACCCGAAAGGGACTGCTTCCACACCCTGAGCGACCTATACATTAACAAGTCGTATACGAGATCTGATCATTTTAATCGATGACCAGCATGTGTCCGTGAATTAAGCATTTGTCATATAGCGAAGGTTGAACTTAAATCCTGTCTACATTTTCCAGTTAAGATGGCTTGCTGTCTGCACTCGACGCAAACGGAGCATGCCACACCACACCACATACCCGGAACCCTGGGAATGCAACATTCCGCTATTCGCTATGATTTTAATTCCAACTAGCAAAATAACTGAGCTTCATGTCACATATGCAATTTAGCACTATGTGTTAGGTGTCCTTTGCGCAAGCCACTTCTGCCTACATCGTTGTCGATGCCGTGTTACTACCCTAGATTAGCACTTATTCGAGGAAGGCTATACTCTATGAGTCACTACTGTTAGCTTGAACCTGCAAGGTAACATGATATCGGATATGTTGATGCAACCTATGCTATATGTGGATATTGAATTGCGCTAGAGTATGCTAAGAACTGCAGACACGCCTTCAGCCTTCCACACGGAACGCAATGTGGTGACCCATTGTCTGTCAGGGTTGAGGAAGGAATTCTAACTCCGAAGAATCTACAGATGTAGAGTCGGAATAGGTAGCATTTCACGAAGAAATGGTTCACAATTGTCGCATAAGGCCTAGACTTGCCACACCCTCTACGATAAACGCACTAATGCGAAGGCTACAACTCAATCTAGCCATACTGACTGGCTACCGTAGTTACTTTTACCACGTAGACTGAAATTGATCGGAAGCTTCGGTAAAAGAACAAAAAAGCATCTGATGTTGATATACCTATGTATTGCTCAAGACCCAACTATTTAATCAAGCGTGTGGAAGGCCCAACTGTTTCACGATTTCGTGATTAAGAGATTCTCATCATTTAAACCCCCCGCAAGATACAATCTATACTATTACAGTACAATGGGATCCGCGGCGGAGCCAGCATACCTGTACAAGAATGTCACCCATGACCCAGCGGTCCCTTCCGTAAGGTCAGCTGAGGGCATTTATATTTACCTCCAAAATGGACAGAAGATACTAGACGCCACGAGCGGAGCGGCTGTTTCTGCAATCGGCCACGGCGTAGGTCGTGTCAAAAAGGCTATAATGTCCCAACTTGACCAAGTGGAGTACTGCCACCCGGGATTTTTCCCAAATACACCAGCAATGGACCTTGCAGATCTTTTGGTCGAGTCCACAGGAGGAAAGTTGTCTCGGGCGTGCATTCTTGGATCTGGTAACCAATCAACTCCCCTCTTCTGTTTTTCTATGCATCATCCCTCGCGTCAAGGGACCATTCAGTACGAACTCGTGAACTAAATTTGTGAACTACATAGGTTCCGAAGCCGTCGAAGCGGCCATGAAACTGGCTTATCAGTACTTCGAGGAGCAGTCGCCGAACACACGGCGAACCAGGTTCATTTCCAGGCACGGTTCGTGGCATGGGTGCACTTTAGGGGCATTGGCATTAGGAGATTTTAAGCCGAGGAAGACTCGATTTGATTCCATTTTGACCTCTAATATCTCCCATGTCTCAGCGTGCGATCCATACCACGGCCTCATGGAAAATGAGGATCCGGAGACATATGTAGCTCGACTCAAGGACGAGCTGGACAACGAGTTTCAACGACTTGGGCCTGAAACGGTCTGTGCGGTTTTCCTGGAACCGATGGTCGGGACGGTAGGTGATCATGGACCCCCAGCATGGTTTAGTTGGTTAGGATGAGAGATTGATCTGTCTGAACATTTAGGCCCTGGGCTGTGTTACTGCACTACCAGGATATTTGCAAGCCGTGCGGGATGTATGCGACCGCTATGGTGCCCTCCTAGTCTTCGACGAGATTATGTGCGGCATGGGCCGGACCGGAATCACACATGCCTGGCAGGAGGATGGCGTCGCTCCAGATATTGAGCTCGTAGGAAAGGGTCTCGCCGCCGGATATGGAACCATTTCTGGGTTACTTGTCAACGACCGTGTCTTGGATGGATTGAGACACGGTGGTGGGTATTTTGTCCACGGTCAGACCTACCAATCCCACCCCCTGGGCTGCGCAGCAGCAGTCGAAGTCCAGCGTATTATCAAAGAGGAAAACCTCGTTGAGAACTGTCGCAAGATGGGTCAGTATCTGGGCCAACAACTAAAGCTACACCTGGGTGATCATCCATACGTCGGAGACATCAGAGGGCGTGGTCTCTTTTGGGCAGTTGAATTCATGGCTGATCCACCCACCAAGACTCCTTTTTCTCCGGCATTCACCATCAGCAAGCGAATGCAGTCCAGGGGAATGGAAAGGGGATACGATATCTGCCTATTTGCCGCCACTGGTGCGGTTGATGGTTGGAATGGTGACCACCTGTTGCTTGCACCACCGTACATTGTCCATAAAGAAGATGTGGACGAGATCGTGAGTCGTCTTGTTCAAACTATTGACAGTGTATTTGAAGATGTAGCTGCGCTAGTTATGTGAAGTATTACTGTCTGTGGAATATTTTGTTGTCTAGCCTTTCTTTTTCGTTTGCCTACGTTGATTTAGCTTGTTCTTAGTTGAATTATCCACGAGGGAGCAAAACGAAAAAAAAAAAAAAAAAAGGCAAAGACAAACAACGGACTGGGAGCGACCAAAAGTATAATCCTGCGAGCATTATGCTGATAATTACCTCATGACTACTGTATTAGTGGCACAATCTATATCTAAGTGAAAAGAAACCTCCAGGTGGCATTCCCTAGATACAGATGTAACGTAAACGTTTACTACACTCATTATTCTGATGTATTGCAACCCTTCCAGCAGTGAGGGCTTTGATAACCATGTGCCTGTACGCTTAGTAAGACTAGATGCGTAGGATTTGCCTCTGCCTCCGTCGGCTGTGTCCGTTTTTTCTCTTATTTCCATTCCTTTCCCTCCCTCTCTTTCTTTTCTGCTTGCTGCCGGCCTGCTTGGTACACCTCCTACCGTCTGACGTTAATATCTACACCAAACATTTTGGTGTAATTAAAGCCTAAATCCTTGTCTTATTCACATACAACATCGCATCCCGGAAGGCAAGATACCGCATGAATGATGAGCACACAGCAGGACTTGGCGTCACAGGCCCCTTTATTATCAGACTCGGCCTATGTGTCTTATGGTTCTTACCAGGCAGATGGACGAGACCGGGATAATATCAGTGAAGCAGGCGACTCCTACTCACGGCACCAGCCAGAAAGGTGGAATGAACCTTCAGTGAACCTGTGGCGTGTCCTGGCAACATTCTACAGCTTCATTGTGGTCGGCGCAAACGATGGCGCATACGGGGTAAGTGGTTCACAGAAGTCCATTCTCAGGGAGCTTGTACTAATAGGCTTGCTATCGGTAGGCCATGATTCACTATGTAGGTTCATCCGTCGGATATATGCGCGGCACTTTCTGAATATTGGCTGCTAACCACTTCTATTCCCTTCATCTCTTAATAGCTGGGCCGATATTACGACGCAGACTATACCACGGTTTCTGTAGTGTTCCTTTCGCCATTTCTTGGCTACGCTACCGCTGCCATGGCTAATAGCTGGATACACGAGCGCTTCGGACAGCGCGGAATTGCCTTTCTGGGCACGGGGATGCATGTTATCTCCTACTTTGCCACGACCCAGCACCCTCCCTTCCCGCTTCTTATTACGATATTCATCCTAGCTGGCCTGGGAAATGGCATTGTGGATGCATCGTGGAATGCTTGGATTGGTGCAATGCATAATAGCAGCCAGCTAATGGGGATCCTCCACGCGTTTTATGGTCTGGGGGCGGCTTTGGCACCGCTTGCGGCCACTTATGTGATCACCCAGAGAGACTGGATGTGGTACCACTTCTACTATATAATGGGTATTGCAGCAACCATCGAGTTTGTGACTTCGGTCGCTGCATTCTGGTCAGCAAGAGGCTCGCTGGTTGAAGCCAGCGAACTGGGTGTTCCTGGGGACAACGTGCAACAAGATGGCCGAGACTCGTCAAGACGCAACACCACATCAAAGAACCCAACGCTTGAATCATTAGGGTTGGTCTCGACATGGATAATCAGTCTATTCCTGTTAGTCTATGTGGGCATTGAGGTCACCGTTGGAGGATGGGTCTTGACGTTCCTCGTGGATCTCCGGAATACACCACCATCTGTGGCAGGCGTGGTCACATTCATGTATTGGGGAGGACTGACCGTTGGCCGTGTGTGTCTTGGGTTCATCACACCCTACTTCAAGCGGCAACGTCTTGTTATTGTTGTGTACTTATTGGCCTGTGTGGTGTGCCATATTGGTTTCTGGCTCGCCACGAAAGTCCACCTATCTATGATCGCAGTAACCTTACTGGGCTTCTTCCTGGGGCCCCTTTACCCAGAAGCGGTTATTGCCCAGGCCGCACTGTTGCCAAAGCATCTCCATGTTGCAGCCGTCGGTTTCGCCTGTG